ACAAGGTCGATTATTCTCACTACCTCCACCCTCTCCCCAGCCCCATCCTTCACCAGAGAAACCTTCCGTATGGAGCACACCAGCTTTCATTCAGAGTCCCCTGGCTGAGGGTCGCCTTGGGGTCTTCTGAGCGCTGTTCTCGTTTCCAGGAGAGAAAGCACATGGGACCCTGTGACAATGCTTGCAGGGGACAGTGTGGGTAGTGTTCTGAGAGTGTATCAGGACACTACTCTCTCTAGCTACTAAGAAAGGATTTTTCTGGATGGACAAGGGAGGGGACTTTTGCAGGGCTGCCAGGCCCACTGGCTTTAACAATTTAACAACATTTGGAGACACGGCCCTCTGGCCCAGGAGACAGCAACTCAACATTTGCCACTTTGAGAGCTGAGAAGTCTTTGAAACCAGCCAACTGGCTACATCCGGTTTGATGTAGATTCGGGGCTGAGAGCACAGGGGACTAACTCTATTCCAGAGCCACAGGAGTTTGAGTCCTGGCTTCGCCAGCTCATGGTTGAACTTGGGCAGGTTGCTTTGACTCTTGTGATTCAGTTTTCTCATCTGTAAAATGATGATAATAATAGTGTATTTCTTAAAGTGTTAGGATTTGTTAACACATGATGAAAAGCATTTAAAACAGTGCCTGGTAGACACCAAGCACTAAATCAGGATTGACTACGATTGTTATTGTTATTAGTTCATTATTGTTAATTAATTATTATCAGAGTACCTAGAAAAGAGTAATCCTTCAATAAGTGTGGGTATTACAACATCATTCTTTTATTATTATTTATCAACTTCCTTCTAAGAAACAATCCCATCCACCTCAGACTCTAGAGGCATTTTATCCAAGCTCGTAGGTGTGTAACAACACCGGGATCACCTTGTAAGCAGACAATGCAAAACAGCTCCTAGGATTGGAGCTGACATTTATTCAGTAGTTATTGTGTGAAAAGCCATCCCCAGGAAAAGTTCATGACAACCCCACGGTGTAGGCTCCTTTCTTATCTTTATTTACAGTAAAATGATTGAGGTTTAGAGAAGTTAAAAGGATTGTCACATCACTGGTTTGTATGACGTTGCGCTGGAGGCTGGGGAGGTCTGGCTCTAGGATCCTGACGTTTAGCGGCTTAGCTCCAGGGAAATACAGGCCAGACTGAGAGGCAGAGGAATGAGTGAGGTGAGGAGGCGAAGACAGATCGGAGGCAGGTGAAGCATAAGGCTGGGTCTGTGGAGTGTCCCTGCAGCTCACACAGTGACAGTGCTTTCATCCCCACCAGCTGGGGCTAGAGGCACGAGAGAGGGGGAGCAAGACCTAGCTAGGGGGGTTGGGGGGTTGCCCCAAGGGACAAAGGAAAATGAAACTATTCTCAAAGGAGCCAGAGTTCCATGACCCAGTCCTGACTATGTAAGGACAAATGGACCCCCACAACGCATGTTCCACGTGGCTTTGGGGGGCCCTATTTTTAGTGAATACGCTTGTGGAATTTAAGTTTAAACTTTTCGTGGCCCTCACCAATCCTGTCTGCCTCAGCCAAGTTTTATCTTTGTACCTTCCCCCGAAGAAACTGACATGCAGAATAGATTCATTCATTCATTCATTCACTCATTCAGGGAATAATTGAGCACCTACTTGGGTAAATACCTAGGAGCAGAACATATGGGCAGGCATATAATAATTAACTTCTTAAAAATTACCAAACTGTTTTCCAAAATGACTGTAGCATCCTCTTTAATTTTCTTCATAACATTTATCAATATCTGAAGATACTGTCCTATTGATTTACTTGTTTACCTGTTTATCGTCTATCCCCTACACTAGACCGTAAGTCCTAGGAGGGTCCCCCGTCCTCAGCACTTAGCCTCTTAGCCTCTTGCCTGGTGCATTGTAGGTGCTCAGGGAACGAGCCAACACACACCAGCTAAACAAATATGTGTGCATCTCTTCCTCCCATCCCAGGCACCCGGAAGACCGGCCACCCCACCCTCTGCTCGTCCCCAGGGTGCCGTAACAGCCCAGGCTCTGCCCAGGAAGTCACTCACTCGGTGCCGTTGGTTATGCAGTTAGCTGATGAAGCAACCACAGTTCTTTCCTTCCCACAGTTGCTCGGTCCTTTAGGTGAAAGGGTTTTTTGGATCCCCCCACTTGCCTCCTTCTAGCAAAGTGATTTGGGCAAATTTTTAGCCATGTTGTGTCTCGGAGTGATTGTGGGGACCGTGTGAGATAACGTACATAGCACGCCTGGCACTTCTTACATGCTCAGCAAGCAAATTGCTGCCCTGTTGCTATGAAAAGTACACTGCTTCTTTCGTGCCTCTCAGTGTCTTCTGACCCACGATAAATGTCTGGGGAACTGAAGTGGCAGGGAAAGATTCCCCTCTGATGGAGCGAAGATGCCCACACCCCTTTCCCACTAGCACATTTGTTTTGGTGACTAGTCCAAACAAAGAGGTACTGATTCTGAAATATTTGTCTCAATGGCACAGAATTCAAACATAACAGCATCCATGACTGACTTTTATGCGCCCCAGTTAGGCTCCTTGAATACTCCCCCTCAAGCCTTAAAATTCAGCAGTAATTCTTAATGTTCCTTTTGCTTTACTACCTCATCGGGTTCCTATGAAAATTACTGCTGGGTAAGCCCCATCCTGGCAAGGCCTCACCAGACCTTTAGTGATATAACCCAGTCCCTGTAGAGCCCCATGTGCTCAACTCAGGCATCAGAGAACACAGAACACCCTACGGAACTCTTGGCGAGCATAGAAAAGGCAGGAAGGAAATTGCCTGTGTCCCACTGTGTTCCAGGAAACAGCAGTTGTGTTAGGCACCAGCCAGAGAGAAAGTGGACAAAGAGGCTGGAAGACAAAGTCAGTCAAAGTCAGTCCCCCGCCCCAAAAGCGCCTTTCTAACTCTGTCCCATGGCATTTTCTTCTTTCTCCCTATCCGTTGTACGCTAGCAATCCTCTTTACCATTATTTGTGTGTGTGCACGTGCATGCATGTGGCACCTGTGCATGCGTGTGCACGCAGGCCCTCAACGTGTGTGGCTGCTTCTCACCTCCCTCTGCCTGTCTTGGTTCTGTTCCATTTCTTTCTGGGTTCAGGCTGCAGCCTCCTGCCCTCTGTCAGGCCTCCCATCTCTGCATATGGCTGGTTTGGAATACCAAGGGAGGCATCTGAGGGCTGCGGCTGTGCCTTACTGACAGCTGAGAGACACAAACAAGGGCAGCTGTGGCCGCTGAGCCCTGGCGCCCTAGATGCCTGTCTGCTCCGGGGTTTATCTCGGTGTTGGCTTTCATCCTCTTCTGCTGTGCCAGCTCAGTGCCGCTGGCTTTTGTGATCAGCTCTGAAGCAGGCTCTGTGAGGTGCCACCTTGCTTGCTGGGGGCAGTAAGGGAACCTGTGCCCACGCAGGGGAAGAGAGGAGAATGAGGAAGCAGAGGGTGGAGTCACGGGTTCCGCCAATTGGGAATAATCCTGGCCCCTTGCACCCAAGGGCCTCCGGGTGGAGGGCCTCAGGGTGAGTGTGTGACCCAGGCAGCCCAGGGCTGGGGCCTGCCCAGCAGAGCTCCTGAGCTACCCAACCCTGACAGCAGCCTTGGTGATCCTGGTATCAGGGACCAGCTCCCAGCAGGTACACAGTAAGTGCTTGAAGGGCAATGTGAGGTTGGTGGACATAATCAGGTTTTGGATTCAGAGAGTTGGGTGGGCTCCTGGCCCTGCCACTAAGTAGCTACACCATTTGGACAAGTGGCCTTTATTTTTCAGTGCCTCAGTTTCCTCCTCTGCAAAATGGGCTCAACAACTTCTGGCTGCACAAGAGGATGGGTGCCTCTTGCAGTGGGCACAGCTCAATCAATGGAGGCCAGGGCTGTGTTTGGACGAATATATTCCCTCTCCAAACCTGTGTTTTGCTCTGTGTCGAGCACTGAGGACACAGAGATAGTTTAGGACCACAATGTGCAGAGCTACCAATGTGGCCTGCCCTGACCAGTCACCAGTGTGGAAGGAGCCCAGTTTCCTGCCCTGGTCCCCCAGGCACAAATATGCGGATTTCAGGATATATCATTGTGGGGGGAGGGGCACTGAAGGGAAAGGGGCACCTCTGTTTAGCTGCTTGCTTTCCCAGTCACATGTCCATCACATCACCCTCCCCCACCTGGACTACACACTTGTCTAGGCACACCAGGTTAGGTGTGCCCACATACATGACAGACGGTGGCCTCAGCTGCCACCTGACACTGAAGCTGCAAAGGAGTGGGGAGGCCCAGAGATGCATGACATGCCACAGACAACTGCCACATGCCCGGCGCCGTGCTGCAGGGCTGGGGGGCCGAGCTTGTGAAGCCCCCCATGGTGGTCTGCTTTCTGTGTCAGCTTGGCCAGCTGTAGCACCTGAGGATTTACTCCCATGCCAATCGAGGTGCTGCTGCGAAGGCACTGTGCAAATTTGGCCAACGTCTACACGCAGCTGACATCAAGGAAAGGCGGTTATGCTCAAGAATGTGGGAGGGCCACATCTGATCAGTTGAAGGCCTTACAAGCAAAAACTGAGGTCTCAGAAAAGGATAGTCTCGAGATTGCAGTCAAGTTCTGCCTGAGTTCCTGGCCTGCTGGCCTGCTCTACAGGTTGCAGACCTGCTGGCCCTGACAATAGTGTGAGCCAGCTCCTTGATGTGAATCTATGCAAATACATGTTTAAGAAGAAATAGATGACTATATAGACATTTGAAAATATATAAATGTAAATATCCTACTGGTTCATTTTTTCTGGAGAACTCTGGCGGGTACACCCCTGATCCAGCCGCTGGACACCCTGAGGTCAGCACCCAGGTCGCCAGTATGGAAAGCCGAAATCCCTGGGGTCTTGGGTTCGACGGGTCTTGACCCATCGCTTCAGCACAGCTCTGACTCTCGTTAGTAGAAGTGGGTTTGAGTTGACATCCCAGGACAGAAGGGGTTTTTATTTATTATTTTTATTTTGGTATCATTAATATACAATCACATGAGCAACATTGTGGTTGCTAGATTCCCCCCATTATCAAGTCAGAAGGGGTTTTTAGAAGCCCAGCTTGCCTTTCTGCAACCATGACCCAGGGGTCAGCAGCACAGATTAAGGGGTGGCAAACTGCAGACCATGGGCAGATCCAGCCTGCTGCCCTTTCCCATAAAAGGAGTTTTACTGGAACACAGCTATGTTCAATCATTTGTGGGATCATCCACTTCCGTGTTGTCTGTGGCTGCTTTTGCACGACAGTGGCAGAGCTGAGCAGTTGGGACAAAGAGGGGGACCATCTGGGCTTGATTCCTCAGAACCATCCCAGTGAAAGATTCATCAGCTACCAGGGGCCTGAGCAGGGGGGCAGTTCTAAGGAAGGTTTCATGCAGCAGTTCTCAGACCTGGATGGGGGACTTATCAAACATGCAGATTCCCAAGCCCACCCTGGCAGATCCTGAGACAGGGTTCCGAATCCTGAGATCCTGAGGCTGGGAATCTCGGGCCCACATTTTAGGAACCCTGGATTTAGGGAGCTTGTCCATCCAGGCTGCAGGGGCACAGAGATTCCTGCAGGGACACCAGGCCCTTACTTGCATCTCATGTCTGTGATTACCCAGCTCCCATGGGAATCTGGACCCTGCTTTGGCTTTAGGATGCAGAGACACTTAGGATAAGAGTCACACGGCACAGCTTTGCTCCTATCAGCAGGCCTTGCAGGGCCTGGTCAACAGAGACAGGCAGTGCTGACCAGAGCTGCCACTGAGAGAAGAGACAAGCCAGGCCCGCCCTCACAGTTCACACCCCTTCCCAAGATGGCATCTGAGCCTGCCCAGGCCCAGCTTCGGGAAGTGGCAATTTTTTCTTCCCCTTCCTGCTGAAGCTGGCATTTGCTTTTCCCTGCACTTGGCCACCCAGGCTGGAATAAGGTTGCCAGAGGCTGGCCTGCCGTGACCAGCTTTGTAATCTCTTTGGGACCTTAGCTGCTGCAACCCTAAAATAGGGAGGGAGATCTATACGGAACTCCCACCAGGCGGTCTGGTTAAAGGACCACGTTGAGGTCCCAGTGAGGGTAGAGACCCTGTCTGCCTGTTTACTGCTTAGCTTAGAGCAAATGCTCCATTAGAGCAAACAGTGTGGAGTGAATGAGAAGGGGCAGCAGACATACTAGGCTGAGAGTCCCCTTCAAATGCCCAGACAACTGCTCACTGCCTGCACAGACAAACTAACTCCTGGCAAGGCAGAGAGACACCAGAAGTCAGCATATTAACCGTCTTCTCTTTATTTACAGCTCAAGAGAGTGCATGCAACACGCCATCACAGGACCACAAGGGCGTAGCACCTCTCTCCTCCCTGTTGCCCCCACACTTCAAAGAGGAACCACAGCCCCCCAGGGAAGTTCCTAAGAGTCAGAAAACACAACAGTAGAGTGCCCCAGGCCCCGGGGCTCCACCTGGTTTCCTCTAAAAATAAAGAGCAGCTCCAGCCCAGGAGGCAGGACCTCAGAGCCCACACATTTGTCACTGCTGGCCATTAATTAGGCAAACTGGATCTCAGATTTGCCATTTCACACCCAAATGCAAGTGCCCCCAAATCACCCAAATGGCCCTGACTATTCAAAGTTTCAGTTGCCCTATCTGTGTTCTAGACCTGTGCCTCTCAAACTTTATTGTGCACAAGAATGGCCGGGAGAACTTGTTAAAACCCAGGTGGCTGGGCCCCACATGCTGAGATTCTGGCTCAGCAGGTCCGGGGTGGGGCCTAGGATCCCACAGTTTCCACCAAGCTCCCAGGTGGTGCCATGCTGCTGGTGCAGGACCACACTGTAGGGAGGGACCAGGAAGCTTCTCTCACCCAAAGGAGGCCAAGGATCCTATATCAGACCATCCATCTTGACTTAGGATTCAGAAAATACACTCCCTGCAATGTAAGCTCCTGGTTCTGCAGGCTTCCAATTCCTGCTGCCCCTATCCCATCAAACACACACACACACACACACACACACACACGCATGCACGCACGCACGCACTCCTGTCTCCCATGAGAGAAAAGATCACAAAGGAGGTGATGGTGCCCTTTCCCAGTCCCACAAAACCCCCAGTGAGAAGCCTAAATGGCTTGCTTTTCTGGCTCTTTCCACTGTCTCTCAGCACCCATTTTTCCTTGCTTCTGTTTTATAAACATCTTCCTTACAGGTTACATATATGTTTACCATCTTTCCCACTGCAAATCGAATCTCATTCCAGGAAGTGTGTACCTAACATTCCAAAGTTAAAGTTTATTCGATGTGTTGAATATGGCTTAAAGTAAGGATACTCCTGCAGCGTCCCCGCGGGTGGAAGGAGTTGTGGCTCTGGGATCTGACCTGGGGTTCAGTCACTGCTCAAGGGTTAAGCGGAGCTGTCATTTTCCCCTGAGGCTTGGCTCTCATGACCTCGGGCCCTCAGCCCACTCTCAGCAGGCTCACTGTGGCATCACCAGATAAATCCCAGAAAGGCAGCCCCGTGGGAACCTCAGGTATCGGGGCTGTGGGGGGTGGGATGGCATAAGAGTCTCGCAGAAGGAATGCAGAAGGGCACAGGTGACTGTCCCAGCCACTATTGGTTTCCACTTGGTTTCCTGCTCAGCTCTGCCCGGGGTTTTATTTTTAGGAACTCATGAATCTTCTATTGCAAAGCCACTTTCACTTCCAGCTCTGACTCAGTCTCCAGAATGTGTACTTGCTGCCACGGGGTGGGTCCTGAGCAGTTTTCCAAACCTCTCTTGACCACAGAACCCCACCCTCTTTTTTCTAATGGAGCATCTCATGGCTACGGTGTTCCAGATGACACAGTCTGGACAAGGAGCCTGAATAAGACCTTGAAAATGATCTTTCAATATGTGATGGATCCATTGTCAAAAGAACAGAACACCTACTAAAATTATCCTAGAAAATAAAGGAGCTAATGCTGGGGCCTTATATGTGCCAGGCACTGTTCTAAAGGATTTTGTTTATTTCTAGCAGCATGCCTATGCTGGAAGAGTTATTATCCCCATTTTATGGATGGAGAAACTAAGAGTCAGAAACCTTAACTAACTTTCCCAAGGTCACCATGGTGGTGAGAGGTGGAGCAGGCCATTTGTCACCAGCTGTGTTCCATGGTCAGATGAGGCAGAGTCCTTGGGCTCAGCTGTACATCAGAGTCAGCTTTGAAAACACATAAAGCCCAGATATAATCCAGACCAATTAAAGTAGGATCTTTGAGACTGGGCCCAGGCATCGGTTAATCTTTGAAAGATTGTTCTAATGTGCAGCCAAGGTAGTGCAGAGCAGGGGATCGCAAACCCTGGCCATTGGGCCAAATTCAACCCACAGCCTGCTTTTGTGTAGTTTGCAAGTTAAGAGGGTTTTTACATTTTAAAATGTGTTTTAGAACATCAGAAGAGGAATAGTAGTTTGCGACATGTGACAATTATATGAAATTCAAATCTCAGTGTCCCTAAATAGTTTATTGGAACACAGCCTAACCTATTTCTGTGGCCTTTTATGGTAAAAGTTTGCTGAACCCTGGATCAGAAGAGATAGGTTTCTGTACTAGCAAAAGAAACTGAAGTTAGACCTAAGGGAGAACTTCCCGGCAGAGAGGTTTGTTAAACACTGAGGGGGACTTGGGATCCCTAACTCCAGCTTTAAGAGGATTCTACCCTCTCTGCTTTGCAAATGCAAACCAGAGGTATTTAGGGCAAAGAGACAGGTCCTGAATTTCTAATCATGCAACTCCCCTGATAGGGAATGATAGCTCTGGGGGCCTTTTAGCTTTGCCTGACCTTTTGTTTTCCATTGCTGATGCCCCAGGGCCATCCTAACTGCTGCCCCCTCCCCGGCCCCATAAACAGTGCTGGGTTCCCTGCCTGCGGCCACCTTCTCAGGGTTCTATCAGGGTCTCCAATCAGCCGCCCCGTGAGGCTCACAGAGCCTGGGTGTTGTTGTCCGATCTCAAACTGACAAAACTGCAGGCAGTTTGATTTCCAAACAGTCACTTTGATCTTTTTCAGTTCCCCTGCCCCACCCCTCAGATTCCCATGCCCGTTGAACCTGAACAGGGAGAAACGAGAAAGAGTATTTGGTTTATCTGAGATCCCTCTGCTTTCCTTGGTGCCAGACCCCTGACCCCTACTGATTCTCCCAGGGGAGTAAACAGCCCTGGCATCCTGTGGGCATGGTTCCTCCACAGGTGTCCAGCCAGCCAGGAATTTGGATGGGGAAGGCTTTTGTCATTTGCAACTTGGTTTGCCCTGGACCAGAGCCCGGTGGGCAGATCTAAGTGGCTCTCCTGAGATGGCCCGTAAAGCCAGACTGGCTGGGAGAGATGTTCTGTGTGGGCATCATGGGTCTGGCCTGTTTAGGGGGTGCAGCGGGAGCAGTTGGCTCCAGACAGCACCTCAACCTCGAAGTGCCCCAACTCCCCAGTGGGCTGTGTTGCAGAAGTGTGGGACTGTGTGTGAGTGTGCTCCAGGGATGGTTGGTGGGAGGCCCGGGAACCACTAAGACAGTATGCAAAGGGGTGCACATAACTTTTGAATCTGTGCTTGTATTACATTCTCCAAGGGCATGAATTAAGAACCCCTAAAGATAAAGAAACCCCTAGGTTAGAAGCTATCAGGACAACTCCAAAGTGCGTGTCCCAGGACGGTGCTAGCAGGGCCCTAGAAACAGAAGGAACAGCATTATTGATCCCCTCAAGCATGTCTTATCTCACAATAGCAACTCCCAGAGGGCAAGGCCAGCCCTCCCAAATCATGCCTTACAAGCAAGCAGGTGCTTAATGCGCGTATTGTTTTGTTTTTAAGATGATACACCTTTACCCTGGGAACTTGGAGAACAGTCAGTAATTGCAGCCTTCACCACAGAGAAACGGAGCTACTGGGCAACATCTCTCGCTGGAGGAAGGTTGCAGAGAACCTGGAACAAGCCCTTGGTTGTGGAGAAGCAGGGATGTGGGCCATGGAGCCTGAAAGGCTGGGCCCAGGTTCGGATCCCAGCTCCAGGCTTCACTCCCTAGAAGCTCTCAGTAGGGTGCTCTCAGTAGGGGCCCCACAAGCAGAATCGGCGAGCCCCAGGAGCTTGCTAGAAATGCAGAAGCAACTGAGTCGGCATCTGCCTTTTAACCAGATCCCAGGGATTCTTACACAGGTTAAGGTTTTGAGAAACATTGATCTGAGACCTTGGACAAGTCATATAACTAACCCTGCCTCAGTTTCCTCACCTGTAAAATGGTGATAACGCCTACCTTAAAAGGTCATTGTGATAAGTAAATGAGAAACATACGCCAAAGCCATGCGTTTAGCACAGTGCGTGGTACATAGGAGGTGTTATGAATTCATCTCCTGCCCTTGGGTTTCCCGTCTCTCAGGGAGTTTCCATTTCTTTCCCACTCAGAAATCTCTTCGTGTTTAAGCTTGCATCCGTTGTAGTGCTGTTGTCGGACAGTAGAGGGCACTCTCGACCTTGCCATCGGGGCACGGGGAGGCGCAGGCCGGGCGGTGGTGGGCGCGGGTGGGCTGCTGCTGGGCTCTTGGGTTTAGGGCAGCGGGGCTCCCGTTCCCGGCTGCGTGTGCTGGGCCTGGGGCTGCAGCCTCAGTCATCTGGTCCACCATCTGAGCGCCCCCAACCCACTGCTAGTTGTAAGCAAACTGCCCGGTTTCTCCAAACCTCCCGCTCAGTCCCCAGGCCGGCGGGGAGGCGCCTCGCGTGGGCCGCTAGACGTTGATGAAGGATCCCTGGTCGCCGTTGGCCGTCGCGGGCTCCACGCAGCGCCCCTTCCTCCGCGTGACCCTGCGGTTCCGGTGGAACTTGGCGTAGCAGCGGAGCCCTGAGCCAGAGAGGCAAAGGGGTCAGGGTGCGAGCGGCCAGTCCCCTCCCCCGCTCGCCCCCATTCCTGCACCCCCTCTCACCACCACCCCCTTCTTTGTTCGGTCCTGCAACCAGTCCAGCCTCCGCACAGCAGCCTGAACGGGCTTGACAAGGAGAATGATCAGAGGGAGGGAGGAAGGATGAGCAGCTGGAGCACTGGGGATAACGGGCCGAGAGACGATTCTGCGGAATGCTGTGATGGGGGATACGTGTCACTGTGCGTCTATCAAAACCCACAGAATGCACAACCCAAGGACTGAGCCCTAATGTAAACGATGGGCTCTAGTTAATGATAATCGTCAGTACTGGGTCCTCGATTTCAGCGTGTACCACACTCAGGCAGGGTGACGTTCGGGAAACAGCGCGGGGGAGGGGAGGGTATCCGCGAACTCTTATTTTCTGTGCAGTTTTTCTGCAGACCTAAAACTGCTCTAAAAAATAGTCTATTAGAAAAAATTTAAAAAAAAATTTTTGCCCTCCCTTATAAAGCCTCCTACTGTTCCCCACTGTACTCAAAAGAAATCTAAACTTCCTGCTCTGGCTTACAAGACCCTGTGGGATCTAGACCTGCCTCCCGCCTGCACTCTTCACCTCCCACTGTCCCCACCCTCTGACCCCAGCCCCACCCACGCTTCTTACTTTTCCTCTTCTCCTCAGCCATGTCCTGCCTCAGGACCTCTGCACTGCGCTGTTCTCTCAGCCAGAAATCCCTTCCCCAAGCTCTTCCCTAGCTGGCTCCTTCAAGGCCTTGGGGTCTCAAAGAGCCCCTCCCTGACCACGGTGATTAAAGTAGGTGTGGCCCTCGGGGCTTGCCAGTGGGAGGGTTTCCTGGCTGCACCTCTGCCGTGGCCTCAGACATGCCCTGAGATACAGGGGTGGACACATTGTTCATTTATGGCCACAGAAGGCCACATCCCCCTGATGGTGTGGGAGATACCGGTGCGGCCTCAGCAATCCTTACATTTCAGGTCAGGAGGGACCACAGGGAGAGAGGACGTTGATAATTTAAGATCAACTATGTGACTGTCAATAGAACACAGGCATGTGGGTGAAGTTTGTCCTCAGGAGCCTCACACCTGGGTCGCTGGGCTTTTAGACCTGTGGCCACATGAACGGCACTTGGGAGGTGCAGGGTATTTATAAGTAGGAGCAGTTGGTAGCCGAGGAAGCCATTCTGGAACCCTCCAGAACCCAGGCAGGCCCTGGCTGCTGCACGTCAGCCCTGGACCCTATGTTCAACGCTTCAGGATTTGTCAGAAGTCCTCAGGACTCCTGGTCCTCAAGAGGATCCTTGGAGTCACCTAGAGCCCTCTGGTGTGGCATCTTGGTGACGGCCTCCTCCTGGAACATCTTTAATGAGCTGCCTGAGTTGTTATTTACACTCTTTTTTCTGGAGCCTGAGTCTCCAGGGAGAAAGCAGGAGTTGTGGTGGGACCGGCCAGAAGGAGAGGAATCAGAGGAAATGAGTGGATGGGGCACGGGATGCAGGCAGGGCTTTTGGAGCTGGGAGAGCGGTCCTCCCCCCGCCCCCCCTACCTGAGGCCCAGGGGAGGGAGGAAGGATTCCTGGGCAGAGGCACCATCCCCTGAGCATCCAGCCAGCTACCAACCGGGCCTGTGCACTCAGTAGGGCCACATCTGCCTAACCCGGGCAGGCTGGACCTGGAGGCCAGGGACCGAAATTCAGCCCCAACGCTGTCCTGGACTCGCTGGACTTGGAGGGCTCTCCTGTATGCTCAGTCTCCTCCTCTGTGAAAGGGGGCTCTGGGATTGCACACCGGTAACAGAAAGAAGCTTCCCAGCATCCCCCTGCCCACCCCTACCCCTGCCTCACCTCCCGGTTGGTCCCCTCTGTCTCCTCTCCTGCCCCGCACAGTCCTGCAGCCAAGCGAGCTTTTAAACTAGAAAGTCAGGCCATGTCCGCCCCCTGCTTAAAACCTGCCGAGGACTTCCAATTATAAATCAAAGCCGACAAGGTCTAGTGAGCCTCTCCACCATTTTCTCCCCTCTTCGTGCCATTTTCCCCATTGGCCACTGTGTGCCAGGCTCACCTACCTGCCAACCTTGTTCATGCCCAAGGTCTTGCCTTTGCTCTGCCTCTTGCCTGCCACTATTCCTGCCTCTCCCCAGCCCTGCCCCTTGTTCAGGTGGCTGGTTCGGCTGTCCCTCCTGCACCCATCCTTTCTAAAAGAACTCCCAGACCCCTTGCCAGACCATCCTCGATTTTTTTCTTTACAGCCTTTATTACTTTCTAGAGACACCTGATCTATTTATTTGTTTATTGTCCGCTTCTCTCACTAGAATGGAATCCATGGGTGAAGATGGCTGGGTCTTTTCACCGCTGAACCTCGAGTGTCCAGAATCGTACCTGATACTCGATAAATATTTCTTGACCGACTGGATGAATGAATAGCTGAACCTAAGTAGCTTTATTGCTTTCACAGCAGATAATTTTTTAGGCTAATGTGAGCAAAACCAGGACATGTATCTCTGGATGGCTAACAGAGGAACTGAAGCCAAATTGCCCTGCTCAGGAGATGGGAGCCCTGATTGGATATTGAACCATTTGGGAAATGATTATTCATTTTTGGTATTTTGTTTTTAAAAGAGTTCTTATCTTTTAGAGATATATACTGAAATATTCACAGCTGAAATATCTGTAAACTCCCAGGAGTTGTTCAAAAATCATACCGGAATAGGGGAACTGGGTTGGGCAGAGATGACACAGACTGGCTGTGGGTTGGTAATTACTGAAGTGGGGTGATGGAAAATGGGGGTTCGTTATCCTGACTGCGTTTCTGATGACTTTAGTATGTATATGTATGAAATTTTCCAGAATACACAATTAAAAATATTCCCCTATTTCTAGCTGTGTGAGTTTGGGCAAATCCCTTAACCTTCTCTGTGCCTCAGTGTGCTTATGTGTAAAATGGGGATCATAATAGCTCCCTTCCTGGAATGGTTAGGAAGATTACAGGAGAGAGTGTGAGTAAAGTGCTTAGCACAGAGCCCCGCACACTGGGGCACACATGGGCAGCAGGGGACATTCTGCCCTGGCTGAGAGCTCAGAGGAGTTAAAGAGGCAGCCAGCCTAGTTCACCCTTCCCTGGGACAGCGCTGGGAACCCCAGCCCCCACCCCTTTGGGAATGCCTCCCCTCTGATAGAATCCTGGTGTGAAAGCACCAGCCTTCTCAGATTTGATCTTATTTGAAGAGATGGGCTCCTCTCTTCTCCTTCTCCAGCAGCCAGATCATAGGAGATCCTGCCAGCTTGCATTTCAAGGGGTGAGAAAAGCAAATCTGAGAGAGGACGCCAGGAATCAAAACTAAATGAGTTCACAGATTGGGAAGGCACCGAGCAAAGCTGTTCCCGCTCACGTTTTCGGCTCCCATGGGATTCTCCCACCCCCTGCTTTGCCACAGGCCCCTCAGCACGCCCTCTGCAGGAAGTCTCGCCCCCTACCTAGTGCAGAACCAGCTTCCAGGAGAAAGGGAGGTTTCCTGGTTCTCTGAGCGCAGGGGAACCCCTCCCCTGAGAAGTCTGGGCTCACCTTCCACACACATGCAGTCATCAAAGCATTTGTTGTTCAGGCCTCGGTTGTGGGGCGTGCAGAGATGCTCCCGAAGGTCGCAGCAGGTTCCTGCCAACACAGCAAACTCGCGTGGTCAGCCAAGCTGAGCGGGCCCTCCCCACCGCCAGGCACACGGTCCCACTGGACAGGAGATCCATCATCTCAGTGGCAGGGCTGTGTCCTGGCAGGGTGGGCCATCTGGTGCGAGGGGCTCCCAGCCGGGACCACCAAACATGGATGTATGGCTGAGGCCCCCCAGGGGGCAGGGGGCAGACACCTCAGCTGCCCCAGATGGCAATTTGATTGATTGTGGGGGGAGCGAAGATGGTGTGGGATCACCTCCCGGACTGAGTGGGTGGAATCAGCTCAGAGCTGGGAGGGGCCTCAGGGGCCATTGACGCCACTATCCTTTTTGACAGATGGTGAAACTGGAGCCCTAGGGAAGCAGCCGATCGCCCAAGGCAGCCCTGGGCTCGGCCCCATCCACCAAAGAGCCAGCTTTCACAGTGACTGTCCATTTGGCCCAAACTCAAGTCTTTTCTTTCTGTTCAGGGTGAATGCAATGATTTGGAAAGGAAACAGCCTGCCAGGGAGCTGGTGGCCTGGCATATACAATGCCAAATTGCTGTTTCCGTTGCTGTTTTATAGAATATTCTGGTCAATGAGTCAACAAGTGTGGTGCCATGGAGGTGTGCCATTTGGATTTCCCATCCTTGCCATCCAGCAGCAAGGACAGGAGTGAGCTGAGAGCTTCCAGCTGTTGGCACCTTCAAGGGCCACTTGGGCTGATGTCCCTCTGTTCCCAAGTGGCCCAGCCAGTGATTGGTGGGGTGGGGGCGGGGGTCCCAGGGCCCGGCCAGTTCTGCCCAGCGTGGGCCTCTAGTGGATGATAAAAATAAAGTATGGCAGCAGCTCTCAGGAAAGTGGTAGCTGTGTTGGCTATTTACCATCCCTCAAGGGTCATGGACCTGCAGGCCCTGCTCACCCCACCGCCACCCCCACACAGGCTCCCCAGCACCCAGCCTAGTGCCTTGAGCATGGGTGCAGGCTCGGTACCTGGCAGGCAGTCCTGGTGGTGGTCGCACGGCTCCCCTTCCGTGGGTGATGTTTCATTACCGTCAGTGGAGAGTTTACCCCCGTGTTTCTCTGGGAACAAGAAAAGCTGTCATCAGAGGCCGAGGCCAGCAGAGCAGAGAGATCCAACACGGGGTGTTGGTGTCAGAGCGTTCACGCCGCCACGCCCACAGTGTGGTTTGCATAAGACTCTGCCTCTCTCTGCCTCGGTCTTCTCTTTTCTAAAATGGGGCCAACAACAGTACAGACCCAACAGTTCTTTCGGGGTCACATGAATTGATCCACGGCAACTTTCGGCATGTGATAAGCACTTGATAGCAGCATTTGCACTTTGGGTGTGAGTCCCAGTGTAGACTCTGTGTCCACCCAGTTTGGACATCTGTAGGTTAGGTTGACTCACCGGGGCTCCCTCCCCAACAGATGAGGGGAGGGGAGGGCAGGGAGCCCAGGCATGGGGGTGGCAGGGTAGGTGGTCATACCTTTCTTGTTTGCAGAGGGCCAAACCTCAGGTTTTAAGTCTTCATAATCGGTCCAGTCGAACAAGGCCATGTCCAGCGTGGGCATCACCTCCCCATCAGGCCGGGGCTGAGCCTGGAGAAGCAGGTGGAGAGGAGGGAACCTGGGGCTCTCAACAGGCATGGGGGGGCCCCTCCTGAGGGCAAAGGAGGGTCTCCCCAGAGGCCAGCTCATTGGGAATCCGAGCCCGAGGACCTGGAGACAACCGAACAAGGCTCCTGCTCTGGCGGCCTCTTGAGCAGTTTCTTCACTGTGCTGCCTCCACCCAAGGGGGTGGTGCCCACAGGCAACGGAGGCAGACAGGGGAGGTATTTTCCAGGCCCTCTGAGGGAGAGGCTGGGGAGGCAGGGCGCCCTGTCAGGGTTTCTACATGCACATGGAGGGAGGCGGGCAAAGCCTAGCTGCTCCCTTTCTGGCCCTTTCTCTCCCCTGCAGGAGTTGTTAGCGATCCGTGGCATCATTCAGGGCAAGGCTCATTTCCACTTGCAGCCCAGGCGGTCTTGGGCGGGATCTGCATATGGTAGGACATGGGCAATAATGGCATCTTTTAGGGCTGGGTTCTCAGTGCCTGGGCTCCAGGAGCCTGTGACAGCATGGGTAACCATGTATTTCTCAGGGATGGTCTGTAGGTCAAGGGGGTGCAAGACCCAAAAAGAGAATGAGAAAGATCTGCAAAAAAAAAAAAATGCTTTCTATTTCTTCTCCATATATATTTTATTGGTCATTTTAAGTGGTTTTATTTTGAAAAAACTTCAAAGCCACAAAAGAGGGGTAAGAATGATGCACGTCTTGTTAATTGCAAGAAGGATGCAAGAAACTCCTACATGCCCTCCATCGAGAATCACCAATTGTTAGCATATTGCTACAATTTCTCTGTATATCTTGTTTAAAGATCTGAAGCAGATAGGTCAAAGTGTTAACTAATGTTTGTTAAGTCTGGGTTGTGGGGGCATGGTTTATAAAGTTGTTATTATTCTCTGTACTTTTCAGTATGTATAAAATCCTTCCCCAAGGTCCCTGCTCTTCTCGATGCAGGGACCAGTGTCCGGAGCTGGCACTTGCTTCCTTGGCTGTCTCTGGAGTGAGCCCCCAGGACCACTTTCCCCGGGGCAGTGGCAGCCCTTCAACCCACCGGGCTGCAGCTGGGCTGGACAGGTGTCAGAGCACCTGGTTTCCATCTGGCTCCAGCAGCCTTAACCAACTCCCTTCTGATCCTGTACCTCAGTTTCTGTACATGTATTAAAAGGGGCTTGTACAATATGGTGTCAAGGACCTTTCCAGCTCCAAGGTCATTCTAAGGGACACCTTACCTGGGGCCACAAGGATGTGACAGGCAGGATCAAGGTCTCTTCTGTGGCAGGTGCTGCCTCAAAGGTGGTTAGGTAGAGGATGGTGGGGGCCAGGCTGGTGGAAGATTCCTCCATCGTGGTGTCTGGTATCTGGTCTTCAGAGAGCTCTGCCTTCTTCTTCAGGGAGCTGGGACCTCGGACTAATGCTCGGCCTGAGACATGGAGTGAGAAACAGGAGTTCATCTCCTTGCCACCTCTTATGGGACCACAGCGAAACCCACATTTCCTGCTGCAAACAAGGGGGTGGCAGGGATCATGTGACAAACCATTGGTCAGCCAGTATCCCTGCTGCCCCTCTCCTGGGGAGGTGGAAATGGAGACGGTATGGGAGGGGAGAGGGCATGTCTCAAATGAACTTGCAGTGATGCTGAGGAGACAGCCCAAGGATTCCCTCTAAAATAAGTCCAGGTGGCTGGGTGCAGCCAGAGATGTAAGTGCAACAAATGGGAAGGGGTAGGATTAACCTGGCTTCCTGGAGGAGGTGAAGTTTAGGTAGGGGAGCAGCATGATGAGGCTGAGAGGCATTGCAATGGGGAGAAGCCTTTGAGGAGGCTGAAAGTTAAGAACTGGGCCCACTGCTTACAAGCAGGTGCTTCCTGTGGTGATAATCATCACCCTGCTTACTGAGCACCTGCTGTGTGCCTGGACCCCATTGTATGCAGGGTCCTGCTTGCGAGCATGATTTCATCTGATCGTTAGAGGAGCTCTTAGGAGGTGGGTGCTCCTTCAGCCTCATCTGCAGGGGAGGAAACTGCAGCACAGAGAGGTTAGGCAGTTTGCCCAATGGCACATGGGTAGTGAATACAGAGCTTGGATTTGAACCCAGGTCCACCTGAGTGCAAAGTCGATGCTTTAACCTCAGATGCCACCTTCTGAGACTCATGGGCACAGGGTGGGTGAGTGTGAGGGGGGAGTGTGAGGGGAGAGTGTGAGGGGCTTGTGGTGGTCAGGAACAAAGGGGCTTTAAGAGAAGCTGGAGGGCCTGGCCTCGTCCTTGCTTCTTGTCTCAGGCGGGATCTGACTTTAAGGTTGGTTCGGTCAGTTGGGGTCACCCTGTTCCCCAGAAATGCGCCTCAGGGAGTAGAAAGGAGACTGAAGGTCAATTGAACCTATTCCATTCATTTTACAGACAAGGAACCTGAGGCTCAGTCAGCCTGAGGCTTCACAGCTGGTCACCTCCAGACGGCCATTCTCCCCACCTTCCCTCACCCAGCACACCAGTGCAACTAGGAGGGTCCTGCTGGCCCCCTGGAGCAGGGGCTGGAGCTGAGCTGGTATGAGTGACACCCCATGTGTGCCCTCTGGCTTGTCCTCAAGGGTCCAGCAGCCCCTCTCCAGCCTGACACACGACCTCCAGGAGTAAGGGGCTGAGAGTCTAAGCTGGGTCCAAAAACTGTGTTCTGCCCACTGGGGGGGTCTCAGTGGGCCTGGCAGGGAAGCAAGGCCAGCTGTTTGTACAAGGGGAGCTAAGGCCATCCTCCTCCGCCCGCAAATCCCCTGCCCCAGGCTTGTGGCACTCGGTCTGCCCTGAGAGGCAGTCTTGTCCTATGAAGAAACTTGTAAGCCAGGGTTGCCTGCTGCCTGTGTGGGCGTGGGACCAGCTGAGACTAGGAGGAGCCATCTGCGGGGAGCTGCCCTACGTGTTTGTTCAGAGACTGCTGGGCAAAGCTGGGGAGCCAGGGCCAGCAGGTGGCTCCCCTCGGTGCTGACAGGGACATTGGAATTTGGAGGAAACTTCAGGAAGGTGAGGAGGGCTGCTGGGGTGCACCGCACGAGACACACGGGGCAGAGGCAGGAGGGGTGAGGATATGTCACCTCTCCTTGGCTCACCTGTGTTAGGTCAGAGGACACTGACTGCATCAAGAGCAAACAGAATTGAGTAGGACCAGCTACTGCGTGTTGCCCCTGACACTTGCAGGGATCTGTTCTGAACATTCTACACATCATCTCTGAGTTTACATGGAGGATAAATAGGGCCATTTTCCTCATTTAGCAGAGGGAGAAACTGAGGCCCAAAAAGGTGACTCATTCAGGGCTGTGCAGCTAATAAGTGGTGGAGGCGGGACTAGGGCTTGGGCAGATCTGGCTTCAGAGTCTAAGCCCTTAACTCCTGCTCTTTGCTTCGGTGGTGAGCTCAGGGGGCACCGAACGGCTCCATCTCTACTCAGGACTTACAGTAGCATGGATTTAAGCCAGACACAAGGCAGAACTTCCTGACTTACAGCATCATCCATTGATAAGACTGAGCTTCTATTGCCACATATCTCTCTCCTCCTCCCGTGCTTCACCCCAAGGACTCTCCCAGCCTCCTTTCCTTGCCAGATCCCTCTGATTTTAGTAAGGCCCCTCCCCACCTCTGGGTGTCCACTCCCTGTCCCATTCGGGGCCTCTGGATGTCCTCCCAGGGACCTCATGCCACCTCCTTCCCAGACTCCCCCTCCTGCCCCTAGAGTCCCCTTGGCCAGTTGGTTCTGATCCTCAACTTGTCCCTCACTGTTCCATTGCAGGACCCGACCCCCTCAGAGAGTTCTAGCTACCTCTGTGTAGTTTCGATCTCTCCCTGCGTCTCTTGTGTTCCCTGCCGCGTTTCTTGACCCTTTCCGACCAGGGTGAATGGTTCTCCTTCTCAGGGTAGGGCAGTGCCAGCCCCAGGAACAGGTCCTTGTCCTGCAGCAGGCCTGCAGGACTCTGCCCAGGCAGCAGCTCCCCTGTCCCTGGCAGCCTAGAGGTCTGCCTGGTGGCGGTGACCATGGCCCCACCCTGGGCCCGGCCAGGCATGCCTGGGCCCCGTTCCTTCTTGCCCAGGCCCCGCTGGCGGTGGTGGCTGGCTTGAGGCGTCCACAGTGCTGGGCCTGGGAGGCTGATGTGATTCTCAGGGAGGTTCCGAACAGGGGTTCCGGGTCCCAGGGAGACTGCTGGGCTCAGCTCCAGGAGTACCAGGAGGGCCAGGAACAGCATGGGGACAGTGCGGGTGGGGGGCCCAGCCATGGGCTCTTCCCTGCAAGAAAACAGCACTGTGAGTGCGCAGCTGGGCAGGCCTCCCACCCTGGTCCCCCTCCTCCACGTCCCCTCACTCCCATTATTATAGCCCTGTGTTTCTCAGTGGGTACGGACTTTGCCCCAGGGGACAACTGGCAATGTCTGGAGACATTTTTGGTTGTTGGAACTACTCAGTACTACTGACTGTCATGGGGGCAGGCCAGGGCTGCTGCCAAACACCCTAAAGGGCAGAGGACAGTCCCCAAAACAGACTCACGGGCCCGGAAAGGCCACAGTGCCAAGGCTGAGAACCCCGGGTTAAGTAATTTAAGCAGCAGCCAGGTTCCAGACTGATCTAGAATTCCTTTCTCTGCACCAACTTCTACCCTTTCCCAAGTCCCCTGGAATGAGCTGAGAACTTCCAAGCTCAGAAATAGGACTGTCATCCCTGAGGCGTGACTGGAAGCCGAAATTCAAACAAAAGAAACAGCCTCCTAGAGGACAAGCTTTGGGCAGGAGCCCTGTTGGGCACTTTACGTGGATTTGTGTCACTTAGTCCTTTCAACAACTCTCTGAAGGGGCTGCTATTATTTTGTGAAGCAGACATTAAGGCTCAGGGAGGCTCGGTCACATCCCTAGTAAGTGGCATTTATGTAAGTGCTGTACCTGGGCTCTGACCATGCCCCCTGCCCCCCAACCCATGGCTGCCTGGCTCCGGCCCTGCCATCTCCCCTCTGAGGTCTGGCAGGTTCTGACATGGCCTCGACTCTGCTGGTGCTCTGGAATATTGGAGGCTTGACTGACTCCCTCAGCTCGGGTGGGCTGACCCCGACCTACTCTAGGGATAGGCCTCCTGTCCCCACCAGAAGTGGTGCCTCCTCAGGGGACCTGATGCTGTGTCCCCACGTGGAAGGAAGAGGCCAACCCCTGGATGCTCTAGAGGATCTCAGAGCTAAGGCTCAGGCAGCCTGTGGCTGCAGGATACTGGGGTGTCTATGAACTTTGGAGAGCACGGCTTGTGGCCCCACCCCCACAGCCGCCCCTCCAACCAGTCTCACTGCACCCAGCAGGCTGGGCACCACGTTAGCCAGGCTGATTGGATTTCTATGGCCTCCTGGGCCTCCTGAGGGTTCCGTTAGGCTTGCAAAGGTGCTTACACAACCATTTCCTTGTGATTTATGGCCACGGAATTGCCAGGGTTGAGGAAACAGTGGTGGGCTGGATGCCTCCTAGCATCTCTCCCTCCAGCCCTCTCTGTTCTGGGGCCCCTGCCCTGGCTATCCCATGCCAGGCTCGCCTTGAGCCAACCCTGAGTGAGCTGCCCTTGAAATGGGCAGAGAGGGCAAGAGGGACAGGGTGGCTGGAGCGTGACCAGGCCGACCCACTCGGAGGGGTCGGGGCTGAAGGGAAGTAAATAGCTCCTCCCTCCTGGTCCATCTTGGCTGCCCTTTACCCAGCCCTTCCTTCACTCGCCTGGCCCTGGAGTGTCCTGGTGCCCTGGGAGCCTGGCCCTAGCCTGCACTGCTCTAGGCCCTTCTCTTCCGGGAACCATGCACTGAGAGACAGAGGCTGTCTCACCACTGCCCGTCTCATCCCCAACCGTGGGAGCCCCCGGGGATCCCGGCTGAGCCTCGCTGAGCTGTGGGGGCCACGGGGATGGGCCTGTTGTGACAACCCCATTTTAACCCCCATCCTTCCATTCTGAAGATTATAAACTCTGCAGCCTTGGCCAGCTTTCCTGTCTATCTCTCTGGTGACGAGGGGACTGTGCCCTGTCAGCATTACCTCCAGCCTTTCCATAATGAAGGCTCTGGGGGCTGGCTCTGGGGGCTGCGTTCCCCAACTCCTGAGGCAGCGAGCGAGCAGGAGGAGCGGCCCATTTCAAAGGCTTGTCAGTCAAGCATTGTTCTGCTCCCAGGGACCCTCCAGCCCTGTTTCTAGGCCTGAGGCAGATGCAGTCATTTGCCAGCTTCACCCTCTGCTTTCCATGCTGCTGAAGAAAGGCCCTGAGTCTGTGTTGGATGCTATCCCTGCCATTCTGTCCTGCAGAGACAGCGGGAGCCCGGGAGAAGCCCACAGAGCACCCCCATCAACAGGGAACCTTTGGGACATTGGCCAGTGAGCGGCATTGCTACCCCCTCCATGTTGGGGGTAGACAGTAATGAGACAGGCACCCAAAAAGTGTGGGAGGAGGCCAGATGAGGCTGGCAGAGGGATGGGTGGTGGGTGGGCCCATAGGCACAGAACAGCCCACTTGCTTGACTCCATGTAGGTTAATGATTCTCAGAGCCAGACTCTAAGCTCAGTGACCGCTCTGGGCCCTGGACTCAGAGAAGCTCCTTCCCTGCAGAGCCAGGAGATGAAGCCCATCCCCGTGCCCCCATGCATCGTGACCCACCCACACTGCCATCTGTCTCTCTCGTCGAAGTCCTGTTTGCAAGACCCTGCCAATGGCTGTTCACTGTACCCAAGAACTCCAACTTCAGAGCTGTCTTTGTTTCCTCCTGCTCTTTTTTCCCCACAAATCACACACACACAGCCAGCCTGAGGCGGGAGGAGGGGATTTCAGTGTGCACTGCTGATGACCCTTGGGGGGCCTCCCTCTCCCCAGGCCTGAACAGCCCTGTCCTGCCCCAAGACCCAGCCTGTCCTGCTACCAGTTACGCTGATCGCGACCCTCACCTCTCAAACTGACCTTGGCCCCTCCCTATTGCCTTCCCATTTAACCACACACGCCTCACTCTGCACTCAAGACCTTGCATAATGTGTACCAGGTACTTTCGTCCCCTCCACAGCCAACAGAGACTATTCCCTGGGCTCCAAACACACCCATCTTCCCTGTCTCTGGTTTCCTTAGGCTGTTCCCTTTGCCTGGAACATCTGCTCTCTACCCCCACCTCTCTCTCTCCAAATCTGCGCATCCTCGGGACCCATCCCCAGTGTCCTCTCCTCCAGGAAGCCCTGCTCCATCCCCAGTCGGGTGTGTGCCCTGCTCTGTGCCCCCACACAGCTTTGCCCAGCACTTGAAGACCATACATACCATTTTGTACTGGGACAATCAACCTTTTTTAAAGCCCTGACTAAACAGGATGGTCCTGCCTAGGATATGGGGGGCTCTGTCCCACTTTCTCTTCCTATCAAATCTATGGGACCCTGCAAATGATAGGCACTGATAACATGGATTGGGATGGAAGTGGATCGAACACAATTGAACTCACCCCTGAGCAAAGGATCATAGATCAATTCTCAGGGTGTCTAGAAGAGAGAGAGGGAGGGAGGGAGCTGGAGTGAGGCTGGGGTCCTGGCACCACTTTGTCTTGATGACGGCATGGCGCTCTCTCCAAGCCCACAGGATTTGCATGAGGATGTTGGCACAGCCCAGCAGCCAAGATGCCAGCCTGGCAAAGCGCCACTCAGGAAACGTGGGCTGCTACAGAAGTCGTGCCAAGAATCCACAGTGATGAAGGGGTCCAATCCATTTCTGTTACTCTGGAAGCCAGTTGGAGGTTGACTCACAAAGCACCAAGCATCCAGGCGAAAAGGGGTGGCAGGTGCCCACCTCCCCCATCCCCGCCAGCCTTGGATGGTTCTGCCTGTGGCTTGCTCACTACTAAGCCTGCCCTTCTGGGCCTGGGTCAGGTCTCTTCCCACCCCCAGATTGTGACAATCAACAGCCTGGAGTTGCTCTGGATAAGAGTTGTTGAAGGTACGTCAGGTCCATCCACAACCCAGAGATGTCCCTCTCCCAACTGAGATCTAATAATGACTCATTAAAAGCAAAACAAAACAAAACAAAAGCAACCGTCCTTGAACTGCTGTGAAGCCCAGGCTCTCACAGGCTGATTTTGTCCATTTCTCACTACGTCCTTTCAACTGCCTGTGCACCAGGTCATTTTCCACATTTTTAAAATGAGAAGACCAGGGTTCTGGGAAGGTAAGCCACAAATCCAGATGACAGGACTGGTAAGTGGCAAAGCTCCCCCTGAAGGCCCAGGTTCTCTTTGTGCCCAGTGGATATGGGACAGCCCTTGCAAGCCACTGCAGGAGCACCGAGCTTCATCCCGGCTCATCACCTGCCTCCTCCACATAATCTCCTATCATTGCTGTGAATGCAGTCAGGCCCAGGAGGGGGCACCTGGCATCTGCAGCTTTGAAGAGGAAACTGACATGGGGCTTATTCCTGCCCTTATCCTGTCTCTACATGTGGGGGGAGTTGAGCTGGGAGCTGTCTCCATCTAGGAGGCTGCAGGGTAGGAGTGTCACATGCAAATGAAGGCAATTAATTCAGTCCTAAGGGGCTTTGATTCCTGAGCCTTCTCCCCACCCTAACAGCTTTGCATTTGGAAGCCAGGAGACTAGCCAGCTGCCTGGCAGACAGCTGTGGAACTGGGCTGCCACAGGGTGGCCCAGAATAGCTGTAAAGCCTGTATTCCTGCCTTGCTGAGCAGCTCACCCACTACATGGCGGGTTGGGGGACAGCAGGGGTGGGAGTGGAGATGGGGGTAGGGCTGGCTAAGGAGGGTCCGATTGACTGGAATCCTGGGCCAGGATATCAGTAAGGCTCTGAAGGAGCTGAGGGCTTGTGGTGCTCAGTCCTGTGAGCCAGACAATCACCCACTGGGAGAACTTGGTCCATCGACCACCAACCCCCCTGCTCCAATCCTGAGTCCCCTCCTCCTGTGAAAGTGACACATCTGAGCCACCGTATTTGGCAGAGATGTTTCAAGGGTTCTCTAAGCATTTGATTCTAACCTTGCTTTTTAAAAATATATTTTAAACTATTTTGAAAACTGTAGTAACAGCAAAAGACTCTCAAATGCATACGTTCTCTACCCAAATGTGACACAGGCACAGCCTCATCATAACTTGGGCTTCTCCTGGGTCAGTGAAGAGTGTTCCAGGGATGCAAGGTAAGGAGTTTAAAAGTAGAAGACCTGTTGCCACTGCAGCTATTTATTTACATGCTCCAGGACTTTCTGGACATGAATGACAAAGCCAGTTAGAGGCCCAGTCTCATGT